TGAAAATTGCCCCTACGAAGCCGAACTGCGCCAAACTCTGTATTTAGTTAGTCAGTGGAACAATGCTTGAAAATTGGTATCAACGTTTTCCTTATTTCAATATGATGTTCTCTTGGGAGCTTATTAGGAAAGAGAGGCCATCCAGAAAGTTGTATAGTACGTCCAAAACGTTGAAACACCTTTTCGAGCAGACTTCTGATGCCCCTTTCGAACAGTGGTCTTGCCCTTTCGTTGTTTAGATTCGTCCCTACCTTAAGTTACAGTTTCTTTCAGAGAAGGTGATGTAGCAGACTCGATGTTTGTTATGTTGAGCGGACGTCTGCGTTCAGTCGAAAAGAAGACGTTGGTCGAGGAATTTGGAAGAGGAGATGTGCTAGGCATGGTAAGTTCAAGAACTTTCTGCAATCTAATTGAACGACCACTAGAAGCAGGGCCGTCGTACGTTGCGTACGTTGGGAACCCCTAGCGGGAGACTCATATTTATTCGCTTTAGGGAGGGGGAGAGGGGTGTATTTAGTCTGAGAAAATTTTTTTGATAGTTGATTTTCCTGTCTCACGCGGGCGCTGTTCGCATCCTTGGGAGAATTTCAAGAGGGAGAGGGGGGGGGGGGTCGCATTCGCTCGTCGTTGGGAGAGGGGATGGATCGCGCTACCTTCGAGAGAATTTTCTCGCGTCGCGGTAATTTTTTGCCGGTTATTGACTTTTCGCGGTTTTTCCCCGTTTTACATGTGCCTTGACAACAAAATTTTGGGGAACTGGAAAATTGTTGGGAAATTCCGGAAAATACTGCACCAAGCTGAGAAACTCAGCTGCAGTATGTGCCTTGACTAGGAGTAGTTAGACTGTGGAGTTCATACTGCTACGCTCAGCAGCAAGGGAGAGCATGGGGGTGGGGGACTGGGGTCGCTCTTGCGCTCAACTTATTCAACGATCGAGTTTTGTTATGCTTTAGAATCGAGTGGCATGCGATGGTTTTGGTGCCTCAGAGTTGTGTCCGCCTTCTGCTCTGAACTTTTGCGGACATGAAACCGCGGATGACCTTCTTGATCTTAAAATTGTACCATCACGTGTGTTCTCATTTTACTTTCCACTTATTGGAGTTTACTTCCCCCCCCCCCACACTGCCTCCGGTTTTTCCAATTAAGGGATTTGATTTTGTGTGTCCTTCGACGTTACAGCGATGGTTCAGATGCGAGCTTTTGCAAAAGAAGCCAAGAGCTACGACGGTGCTCGCTATACGATTCTCGCAGTTGGCTCGTATTCCGGAAGGATTGCTCAATTTCATTAAACTTCAGTTCCCTCAGGTGAGCTGACTGTTATCTTATTGTTTTCTCTTAATATGTTTGTGACGTGAGCTTGCATGTGTTGGTTTGATCAACTTTCTGCGCTAATAATCTTGGTGGGGGTATTTAAAGGACCACTTAAGCAAAGCCGGAGCTGGAATCATCCGAACAAAATTACAGTCTTGTTTGCTGCAGACGCTGCGGCACTTTAGAGGAACTGGGTTTGGTGCGGCACCAGCCTGTTCTCAACCAATTGTGGAAGCGCAAGTCGAACCACAATTGTGGAAATTAACTTGCGCTGGCACCGCGCCAGTCCAGCTCTGAAGCGTTTCAGCGTCCATTAGCGAACAAGACTGCGTGCTCTTAATTGGTTCATCCACCCCAGAGTTCCTTTCTCTCTTTAGATTTGGGTAAAACTCCTATTTCTTCTTCGCCATAGCCTTATAATTAGTTTCGCGCCGTTACGGGGTCCGCTGTTCCCAGCTCGAACTAGGCTGACGGCTCAGATCCTCATTTTTTGGTAACCATCACTACTGATACAGAATTTGGGCAACGGTTCTGGGCGTCCCTTCTAATTCTAGCATTATCACTGGTGCTATTGCGAGTTTGCTTGTTGTGACCAGTTGTTGATCGGCTACCCTGTCAACTTGGGCCTGCCGCTGGCACGAACACTTTTTTTCACAATTTTCGCAAACCATGGTTCTAAGCCTCAGCAGGGATCAAACTCGTAAACTCGCTGATAGTGCAGACATGATCCTAACCCTTATCCACTCGGCTGTCCCTGCTTGAAAAGCCTTAATCTTCATTGCGCTAATTCTGGTTCTGTAAGAGGAACCTCTAAATGGTTTCTCTGAGAGAATTAGCGCCCTGTTCTCTTCATTTCTTCATTTCTACATTACCTTTAAGAACCATTGTTTTGCAAAAATAGAGTTGAGAAATTTGGGGCATGAAGCTAAATGTGTTTTTCACCTCCATTCATGTGCATGCTTAAGTTTGATATTTCAAGGTTGGTTTTCGGTTAGTGCAACTTCTCGGACAGTACTACAGTAGTATGCATCGACGTATGCCGTATCTACCGTCGCTATCACTGGAAGGAGGTGGTGATCCGATGAGTCACATCAAGGTTCGCTTTAACACGGCCTTAAGATTGGCAGTTTTTTTTATTTCCACTGGCTCGGTTTGTGATTTAATTTCCTTTTTTATTATGCACTTTGAGGTGTTCTTTTAGAATCTGCATACAATCGCCGTCGTTCCCGCCTCTACAGAAGTACCTTTGGTCCCATTCACATGCGAGCTGTACCACGCATTGTCTGCAAACTTAAAAGTGCTGAGACTCAGTAGTCAGAAAGTCGCTTCTCATCTGGACAATAGCGTTCTTGAGAAGTAAGTAATTTAAGTTACTCAAATAATTGATGCTCTGATGCTAATGAATAATTCACCGATAGTTGGCTGCAAGCGACTTCTTCTTTTGAACTGCACTCCGCGACCATCGGATGGGCGGAGCCTCATACCCACTGTGCCCTTTTCGGCGGCTCACCTCTCCTCTTTATCGTATTAGAAGGAGAAGGGCGCAG